ATTTATTGAGTTATATTGCAGATTTGCATATTCCAAACTATTTTCCTTTCAAAGAATATTTTTATTATTTTGGTTCATGTGTATAAATTATGATGCACATTTTGATATTTTATAGGCATATTATGTCGTTTTATATCAAAAATAAAATAATGAAATGTTTATTTTGCGTGAATTATTATTCTAAGGTCTTAATACTGAAAGTAAGTAGGTATAGATGTATGAAAAATTTAAAAAAAATTGTAAATGTTTATGCTATCTTATAACCATTAATAAATTCCTTTTGTGTACCAAAACACTTTTGGTACACCTATTTTATATTTAAGTAATTGAAAACCCTGGAGCAACAACATGGCTTATTTTGATCGATTTAGGTCAAAATTATTTTTTTGATTGTCCATCAATTAGATAAATCAACCGAGTCGTTCAATAACCTAACATCTCCGTTTATATTATGGTATAAAAGAAGGCATATTATCCAAGTTTTATTTTTTGTTGTCGATATCATACAAAATTGATTTTAACAATTGATTTTTCACTGGCTACTTATACTTAAATTAACTGAATTGTTGAGTCTATAAATAATTTGTTAATTTTTAAAACATTTTTAATTGCTTCTTTAAAAATTTTATTAATTGTAATMTTGTAGATGCYGTGTCGTTGCACCCATTATCCAGATCTTCAATTTATACTTGGTCATATTTATGTTTTAGCATCAAAAATATTGATGGAAGAAAATAGAACATTTTATGGGTCGAATATTAATCCTAAAATTATTATTTGATTAATTAAATATTATAAATTATAATGTTTTAGTTCATAAATATTGGTATTTTAAAATCATTTTGTTTCATAAAGCATATTTTTACACTTTATTATAGATCATATTATAATATTATATTAAACTGTTTTAGTGCATTAAAGTCTTTATTTCAGTCATTTTATCATAAATACTGGGCACAATGTTCAACATGRGTACATGACACTTGTTACTTTTTGTCATCCATATTAATTACAAAATGTAACTGCCGTATTTTAATAAAAACAATTTTATTTGTGAACCTATAACTATTAACATTATATATAATTATTTAAATTACTTTTAAATTATTAAAGTTACAACCTTAGCGGCTTAGGAGGAAAACTCCATGTCATTAACTACAATGACAATGGAATTTATCAAAATATATTGGATTTTCAAACATTTCCATAATACCATTAGTTTACTAAATTATTAACATTCATTTTACACTTGCAGAATACCATTCATTTTTTATTAAGATTTAAGATCTACTGAAAAAACAGTTTTCCTTTGTGGATTGAATCACATAAAAAATTATTTTAATTTTTTAAAGTCCTTAGTATTGCTAATATCAATAACAATATGCACTTATAAAAGTAGGTATACTTATACTTATGTAAATAATAAAATTAAAATGTAAAGTTATACAAAAATGAGTGCATAACACTAAATTTCTGAATAATTATTTCAGAATAAATTAACATTATACTGTTGGCGTAGGTAGAAGAGTGTTAATGCATACAATCCTATTGTTGATCAGTTGATTATATTCTGGGGAAACCTCTCAAATCACTCAATTGCGATATGAAAACGAAGTGTAATTTGGTATTCAGGGAAAAYGCTCTTTCACACATAGAGTTTAATATGAAATATGTATATAAATTGCAATTAATGTATTTACTAAATGTATATTAAATAATAATTTCAACTTTGAAAACGTCTGAGATACATCCATTGATCATCATCAATTGTAGACCATCATTGTTCTATTTAGCTGGTTTTCTATCWATTGTAAATCATTTGAAGGACTATAATAATGAAATAATAGTGTCAATACAGTATTCAATAATTAACCATCAAGTAATCAACTGTTCACAA